CCATTTTCAGTTTCCTGGCAGAGGGAAGGAGGTTGTCGCTCAGGATTTCACGATACATGGCTCCGTCCATTTTCCCGTTGATGCGGTGAAGTTGTTCTGTGCCCTTAGCAGAAAAACACCCCCAAAGCAAAATGTTTCCACCTCCATGCTTGACGGTGGGGACGGTGTTTTGGGGGTCATAGGCAGCATTTTTCTTCCTCCAAACACGGCGAGTTGAGTTAATGCCAAAGAGCTCAATTTTGGTCTCATATGACCACAGCACCTTCTCCCAGTCACTCTCTGAATCAATCAGGTGTTCGTTGGCAAACTTCAGATGTGCCTGCACATGTGCCTTCTTGAGCAGGGGGACCTTGTGAGCACTGCAGGATTTTAATCCATTGCGGTGTAATGTGTTTCCAATGGTTTTCTTGGTGACTGTGGTCCCAGCTACTTTGAGGTCATTAACTAACTCCTCCCGTGTAGTTCTAGGATGATTTCTCACCATTCTCAGAATCATTGACACCCCACAAGGTGAGATCCCAGACCGAGGTCGATTGATGGTCATTTTGTGCTCCTTCCATTTTCGAACAATTGCACCAACAGTTGTCACCTTCTCTCCCAGCTTCTTGCTAATGGTTTTGTAGCCCATTTCAGCCTAGTGCAGGTCTACAATTTTGTCTCTGACATCCTTGGACAGCTCTTTGGTCTTTCCCATGTTGAAGAGTTTGGAGTCTGCTTGATTGATTGATTCTGTGGACAGGTGTCTTTTATACAGGTGACTAGTTAAGACAGGTATCTTTAATGAGGGTGACTAATTGAGTAGGAGTGTCTAACCACTCTGTGGGAGCCAGAACTCTTAATGGTTGGTAGGGGTTCAAATACTTATTTCACTCAATGAAATGCAAATCAGTTTCTATCTTTTATTTAGAGTTATTTTTTCAATTTTCCTTTTGACGTGCTATCTGTCACTATTAAAATAAACCTACCATTGAAATGATACTGTTCTGAGACTTTTCATTTCTATGTCATTGGACAAACTTACAAAATTAGCGAGGGGTCAAATAATTATTTCCTCCACTGTATCTCTTGAAATTCCCAGCAGAATCAGCTGAATCGCTGATCAAGGCAACACACACTACACAAGACTAATGAATAAAGCCTCAAGTAACAAATGCGAGCAGCCCACAGCTCTGCCTGCCTCCCTGTCTGCGTGCCCTACCTGCCTGCCTACAGTACTCACTTGTCGAAGTTGATCTGCGTTATAGACACAGTGAAGGCGGCATCATCGGCAGTCTGCACCAGCCTGGCCAGTCCCTCGGCAGCTGCACAGCGCAGAGGCTCACTGCCACTCTCTAATGCCCCCAGTAGGAGTCTCAGGGCCGGTTTGCGGGTATCCTCTGGTAGCAACCCTCTCTGCCCAGAGCCCAGACACTGCAGATGGGAAGAGGGAGACAGATTTCCCAGCACACCCAGAAAAAAATGTCTTCATTCCCAACTGTCTCCAGCCTGAATTTGCAGCAGTCATAAAGTTGCTTCAGGTCCTTTTCTGCAGCAGCTTACCAGTGCTATTGAAAGTGAAAGACGCAGTCTTTAGAGTTAGTAATAAATATCTAGACTCATTACAATCAGGCTGACTTCAGTTAAAAGATGCACAAAAAGCTAGAGATGCAGACCAGGCACCATGCATCTCTGTATGACACAGGGCAGATAAAATCAGGTTATAATGAGATTTGGTGCAGCATGCAATTAACCAGACAGTCCTGTCATTTGGTCCAGGCATCTAAGCCGCATTTGCCCCATGCCCACTTGTACAATTTTGAGAACTATTCGATGAATAACCTGAAAATGTGAAAGTGAAATACAATTGCTAGAAGGACTGGATGGAATACCTGGAAATGTAAAAGTTAACCAGAAGTTCACCTGAATGCTGTGAGTCCTTCTTGTGATATGTAAGTCTGAAAGTATACTTATTCATTTGTTGCACTTATATGACAATTTCCAGAATCTTTTCCCACCAATTAGTGGTTACTTGTATTACTTTGTGGATGTTTTAATATCCTTGTTTGGAAATGTAATTTATATTATTTATATTTTTTCATATGTTTAAATATTGATAATTAGTGCTGTGAAACGATTAAACGATAATTTTTTTTTATCAGGGTTGCTGTGGATTAATTTCGATTAATCACGATTAAATATCCTAAATTCTTAATCTATATTAATCACATTTCATTTTGCATGAGCAAACAGAAAAAAGGGAATATATATAAACTAGTGCTGGGCAAGTTAACGCGTTATTATCGCGTTAACGCAGTACTTTATTAACGGCGACAATTATTTTATCGCGAATTAACGCAGTTTATTATATTAGTAGTATTATTATTTTGAAAGTCTGTTGCTCGCTGGCTCTGAATCAGAGCATGTGAGTGGAGTGGAGCGTGAGCGAGGAGCGGAGCCGGCTGAATTTGGTCAGAGCGCGAAGCGGTTTTTTAATTAAGGCTGGAGCGGTCACTCTGTCTCTCCAATTTCGCTCCGATAC